TTCTCCGTCGCCTTGCGCAGGAGGACGGAGAAGGGCGGCAGCCGAGGGCGCCCCGCCGGGAAAGGGGCCACGGGGGGGAGGGCGTTCCTTGGACGCGACTTCGCCTGCGGAACGCCCCGAAGGACAGCTGGGGCGCGGCACCTGCCACCCGAAGCCAAGTCCCTTTGGGACCAGCGGCCCAGCGGACGGAGCCGGCCCCCAAGAAATCGTGGGCCTGGCTGCAGAAGGCAACACAGCAGCCACAAAACACAGGCCCCTGGCTCTCCTTCCACCCCCTCCCCGCGCTCAGATGTCCCGGCTTCCGTGGCCTCTCTCGCCCGCGCCCCCAGAGCCTCCACTCAGCCCAGTCCCTGCATCTCCCTCGCAAAATGCAGCTTCCTACCGGACCTGGTTGTTGTTCCCCTAGCAACCTTACCTTAGATAGAGGTTGGGTTGTTTCCCTTGGGGCGGGGGCGCGCGCGGTTAAACCTATGGTTTGAGACAGGATAGGGTAGCAGTGCAACCTACTGACTTTAGAGTAGTGTAAAGTCGGTGCAGTCCCACTGGTTCCTGTAAGAGGTTCCCTTGTTTCCTTTGTGAGCCAAGACAAGCTTTCACATTATCAGGGACTTACATTGAGAGAATCCGATTTAAAGTCCTAGCTCAATTGCTACTCAACCATAGTTGATGGTTTTCCTTGAAAATTCTGTTTCCATACTCCATAGGAGTTGTTGAGTCAGCAACTGTGTCCTCAAATTGATTATGACTTACAGAAAGCCTCCCAGAGTTTTCTGGGATAAGAGTACTCAGAAGTGACTTGCCATTCACTCCAGAAAGTCTCCCAGAGTTTTCTGGGATAAGAGTACAGTACTCAGAAGTGACTTGCCATTCACTCTTCTGCAAGTATTCTGGGATCATGGAGCTTGCCCAAGGCTTCACAGGTGGCAGAGTACATTGCCTCATCAGCCAGGCATGCTTGGATTGATTTTGGCTGGCCTCCCCCCAGCTCCTAGTTCTGCAAACAGGTGCTCCAGCCAACTGAGCTACATATTATTATTATTATTATTATTATTTAATAATATCATCATCATCATCATCATCATCATCATCATCATCATCATCATCATCATCATATCACCACCACCACCACCACTACTATTGCCATTACAGTGAAACTTATTGAAAAGGATAATGCCTATATCAGTACCTACAAACACAGTTCCAGATCCATAACCATGGAAGAAACTTTCTGCTAACCTGCAGCTTCAGTGGATGCACATGGTTTTGCACAAGATGAGGCTGTGTTTCTGTCTGCTCGTGTTAAGTCTATACAAGAACAATATCACCAAATGCAGCTTCAGAAGCCTGATGAGATACCCAATTACACAGGACTATTTTTCAGTGAGACCAATTCATGACAGCAATTAAAGATATGTATTCATTACTGGTACTTGTAATTATCACTAGTTGGACTGTGGCAAGACATCTTGCTTCTGGAGTAGGAGCAGCAAAGGAGGCCATTTCTCTTGCAAAGCACTCAAGTCCAGTCAAATCACTTTAGAATTTAGAGCATTGATTTAAATAGCTCCTCTTCCCCCTCCCCCCAGTAAAACAAGAATACAACAATAATCAGTCAAATAACTAGCCCTTTGCTACCCTTTCATGACACCCATCAAGCCAGATGCCTGAAGTGGCTGCCTCATTTTGGCTAATGGTGGAACCAGCACTGATTATTGAGATGCAATATGCCCATATATAAATTTCTGGGGCAAGGGGTAGAATCTGTAGAACTTGTTTATAACATATTTGATCTCCCTTCTCTGACCAGTGAGAAGTTCACACCATATCTAGATTTGGTTAATTTTGGAAAGAGGTCACCTAAGGCTTGTAAAATTCAGATTTATTTATAAATATGCATGTGGAGCCATAGGTGGAATCACAGTTTAAACACTCCAGCAGACAATGGCTATGGCTTCTATAGCAAATTGCCGCCTCCTCCCCAGTAAAACAAGAATACAAAAACAATCAGTCAAATAACTAGCCATTTGCTACCCTTTCATGACACCCATCAAGCCAGATGCCTGAAGTGGCTGCCTCATTTTGGCTAATGGTGGAACCAGCACTGATTATTGAGATGCAATATGCCCATATATAAATTTCTGGGGCAAGGGGTAGAATCTGTAGAACTTGTTTATAACATATTTGATCTCCCTTCTCTGACCAGTGAGAAGTTCACACTATATCTAGATTTGGTTAATTTTGGAAAGAGGTCACCTAAGGCTTGTAAAATTCAGATTTATTTATAAATATGCATATGGAGCCATAGGTGGAATCACAGTTTAAACACTCCAGCAGACAATGGCTATGGCTTCTATAGCAAATTTCCCAAGAAAGCTGGTCCTCCAAACTACCGTTGGCTTCCACAATCCAGAAATTCATCTCTCTCATGTGTCGCTTGAAAGCCACAGTGTTTTTTGGGTTCCTTTTCCTAAGCATCTAGGTTAAATCATTCTCAGCTACACTGATGGAGAAAGCTTTCTTTTTGCCCCATTCAGGTGACGTATGGAGGGACCAGCCATGACAAGCTACCAGTTTACTACCTTTCCAAAAAAACAAAGCAAAGCAAAATAAAACTTGGAGCTTTCGTCACCCATTATTAAGGACACTTCCAGCAGCATTTCTAGTTTTGTTAGTTTCTCCTATCCAAATCCTTCCTAATCTTTACAATATTTTCAGCAAAATAATTCTCAAAACAAGAAGAAAAAAACTATCTGCAAAGAGGAGGATCAGCCGCTTTTCACACCAAGTCTCCAATAAAATACATAACCCAGTCAAATGTAGTGGAGACAGCAAAAGCAAACCAGCACATGAATTGAATCCGAGCCTGGATTTACTCACACTTCATTTTCAGCCCCAGTGTGTTAAAGCAGTGGTTCTTAACCTTGGGCCTCCAGATATTCTTGGACTACAACTCCCAGAAGCCTTCATCATCACCTCTGCTGGCTAGGATTTCTGGGAGTTGAAGTCCAAGAACATCTGGAGGCCCAAGGGTGGGGAATCGTATGCTAAAAGGCAGCTTCCTGAGCACATGCAAAGCAAGACTGAAGTAGATCATTCTTGTGATCCCTTCCAACATTATCGATCTACAATGCTGTGGTCTTTCCTTCATCACCAGACACCCTAACCTTCCATCTCACTCCTGGAATTGGAACTTCTAGGAGTGTTTCCCCATTAATATCTAATTAAAAAATCAGCTTGGATGTAAGTTTTGGACTTCTTTCATACTAATTTACAATTGCCTTCTGTAAGCTAGTTGCAGCTTTATGAATATGTTCAGAAATTTGTTGCCTGCCTCTCTTTAGCCACTTCAAGGTTCGGAAGAGATGTCTCCTCTTAAATCCTTAGGGTTACCAGTGGCAAGCATCAGCTCCCAACAAAATGCCAGACTATAACGCGGGCAACATCACAGCAGTTACCTTCACAGTGTTGCTTGTAAGTCTCTAAAGACGTCCGTCTGACAGGCCCTTGTTCCTTTTAAAAATTAGCACTTTCACACACTTTCTCACCACTTGGTGAACATATCGGTAGTATATATGTATACAACTGCAGCAACAAACCCTTATTAAATGTGTAAAGCAGCTAGATTTTTCCACAGAAGCTAGGATGAACTTCCCCTTTAAAATATATAGATAATGGAATGATCCACATTGGTCATTTTTTCCAGATAGTTTTGTTTCAAAATCCTTTTCTAATATTAGAACTTCCCATCCCTGTTTTGCTCCCCTATATGCCTTTAAATTGAGATAAATTCTAAAGCAGTACATACTTCCCTCCTGATTAGTGTGGCTAATGTAAAAGAGGACAAGGGTCCTTGGCCATTCAAACTACATGTGCTTAAATCCCTTCTTTTACACAACTGTTAGGAGCATGGAAACTCTGCCCTCTTTAACATTTGGGCAGCCAGCCATCCCTTGATTTTTCTCCCAAGCCTTTTCATTTTAAGGGTAGCTATCTTTATCCAGCCATTTCAGTCTCCCTGTCACTCAGTTGTTCAAGAAAATGTATATGATTTCACAGAGAATGTATAGGGGAAGTTGAGCCTGGAAATAAGTAATTACAGATAACATAGTTACCTTAAGGAGTCATAAGTACTTGGGGTTAATGAGTAATATCATTAGAATTTACAGTGTAAGTTTTACGTATAATGAGTAACATCTAAGTTATCTGGTGTAATGAGTAATGGTTACATTTCAAAGGCTGCAATCTAAATAATATTTGAAGGCATTTTTAAAGGCACTGATAGGAATTCTTCATGCCTTATGATATTATCTTATCAAGGGAAGCATTATTTTGTGGTGCTTTTTGTATTTTTATAAATACTTCCAAGGTGCAATATCAGATTTGGCCACTATAGGGAACCACAGCATGTCACTGTATTTTTCAGACCT